ATCAGCAAAGATGGAATGTTTGAGAAGGATTATTGTCTATTTGTTCCCCTTTCCCAAAAGCTAAAGTGTGTGAAGAAGTTTATTGCTTTATTGTTTCTTTATCCAAAATGTTAAACCAGATTAAGTGTATATCCGAACGTAATTTACCCTATACAGTGTGCCCGCTCTTCACAATAGGCTAGAGGTCTTGAAAAGCTATTCTCTCTGTCCTCCAGACTGCTGGCTTTCTGTTAGTAAAGCTTAGATTGGATCTCTTCCCGACTCTGTGATTGACTACAGTGACAGGTGGCAAGCCCTCGTTTTGATTTGGCAACACATGCACTAATTGAAGTCCCCAGGTCTCGATGTCCCAGTTGAGGAGGTTGGGCATTGGGTGATGACCAGATGTTGATAGGAAATGCGTCCTATGATTCACGCATCTGTTTCTAAAAGTTTGGCTTTGAAATCAGCCGATGATCTGGTATCCGGCACAGAGAATGTAAGCATTGGACTGGCTGTTATCACACAGGGTCCAAAGTTCCCACTTCACAGATGAACCTACTGAGATTCCCAGAGGGTAACTGGCCGAAAGGGAACTGGAAACCTGTTGTCGACTGAGTCATATCCTTAATCCTCAATTCCCGGCGGGGTGAACGTGAAAGTAGGCTTTGGTGCAGAACCTGGGCCTCTCAGACCCAGGATCGCTTCCTCCACCGCAGCCCGGGCCTGTGGTTTCTATGGAGATGCGGCCTTCTGGTTTATCCTTGAAAGAGACTGGGCGGGGCGTGGTTTAAATATTCATTGCATGTTGGTTCCGCTTCCGAGGCAACGACTCTCCGTTCCTCCTCCAGGAGGCGACAGAGGCAAAGCGAAGCGGTTCGTTTGCCGAGGCTTCTCTTTTGAATTTGCAAAATGCTGCTTGGCTTACTCCCATTTCCAGGTGAGAGAAATGAGTCCACTGTTCCTTGGTCATACAACTGCGAAGTGATTCTAGACCAGAGCTCTTAATTTCTATACTTTGTTTTCTCCCTTTCTCCAGCCCCCACAGAAAACTTGAGATCCTCCTGGCTGGACAGGTTGACCAGGACACTTGGGACAGGGACCTGGGAGCCTAGATTGACTCCTACCTTGGACACCGTAGGTCTTCCCTGGCAGTCAGGTGCCCCAGATTCCAATAGGGCCAGATATTGAAATACAATCCATGTTAAATATAAATGTAATGTCAAAATAATTTTGGAAAAGGTTTTGTAATTTTGCACATGAAATATGTGACTGGTAAGCATTGCCAACACTCAGGGAATATATTTGAGAATTCTTGGGAAGTGAGAAAACTGTAAACAGCAGTAATGTCACTATGGAAGTATAGTGGTGTGGACCAAACCAGGTGACCCTGACGGGAATGATATGCCAAAACATCTATAGAATTCTTGTGCAGTGTTTCAGCAGAAATTTATAGGCTTTAATTTTTT